CTCCCTCCCTCCCTCCTCACTGTTGACTCAGAACTGGCTTGTCATTGTCTGTTTCCTAGGGTTAAGATCATCCAAGCTGGCTTAGTACCTAAGGCAAGGCACCTGACACCTTAATGACTTCACCAAACTGGCTCTCCTACCTCATTAAAGAGGCCATTTTAAAGTATCAGGTAGACATATTTGAGAGGGACCATCCGTCACATTCAAGCTGCGGGCGTTTCTGTTTGAAAGTTAATCACAGTATTCTGAATTAGGCCTGGAACGCTGACTGAAAATTAGTGCAGGCCTTCTGACATGCAAGCATTCAAATTAAAATTGCCTTTAAGGTTAGAGAGAGGAACATTACTGCTTGTACAAAATTTTTCGCAGTATAAGACTCACTTTGTCCCACCAGAAGAGTCAGTGGAAATGTTTGTACGTCTTATACTCCGAATATTGCAGCTGGGGGAGGGGTGTTGGTGCGGTGCCGATCAGCTTTTCTAGAATGGGCCACGGCAGCAAACAGGCAGCAGTGGTGAATGGGCTGCGCCAAACGGGCCAGTTGAATACCGAATGGATGCTGGGAGGCAATTTCCCCTCCCCCCTGTTTTCCTCCCCAAAAGCTATAACCCAAAAGGGTCTTATAGTTCGGAGCGTCTTATAGTCCGAAAAATATGGTACTGTACAGCAAGGGTCATGCCAGGAGTAGGTTCTGGCCGGCTTTACTGCCCGTTTGCTCATGCATGTGCTTTGTGTGTGCACAAGCTTTGCACTCGTGTGTGTGCTGAATGCATGGTGCATGTGCATGCGCATTTCAATTAAAATTGTTCTGTGCATGCACAGAATTTAAAAAAACATGATGGCAGCAGGGATGGCGGCAACCAGGGAACCGGTTCGGGGACATGGCAGGCCTGGATTGCTGCTAGTTCCAGCGACCCAGGCCTTCATATCACTACCGGTTCGGCTGAACCGGGTCACCTCTGGGTCAACACCTTTGTTATGTCCTGCCACCACCAGAATTATCAACACTGCAGAGTCGTATTGTAACCAAGGGCTAGAGAATATTTTAATGTAAGAGCAGGCAAAATATGCCTACTAACAAGAGTTGAAAGGGAATGATAAAAAGTAGTCAGAGACCTTTGCCGAATTACATTTTTTAGTTCTGCTGGCAGACAGTGGAAAAATTTAACTTTGTTCAAATGAATTACTTTGGACTAACAAATTGTAAAAAAAAAAAAAGAAGGGTGAACAAAGGGAAATAAAGTTTAATCACCTGCTGTACGAAGTAAAGTCTCAGAGGGGATGCTTAAGAGAGCCAGCTCAGCTAAATCTGATTCACTTTATTCCCGCTGTAGTGGGTTCATGATCCAATCTGCTGGGCTATTTAAACCGTGGTAGTAAAAATAAAACCCCTCTCAGTATCCATTGTGATTTACTCCGTCTTCTCCTGATGCTGTACTGTATGTAGAAATCGGTATAAGATACCGTTTTCCATTATAAACAGTTTGACGAGACAGGTTTCTTTAGAGAGAAATATTTTCTGAATTTTGAGTGTAGAAAAGTAGCTGGGTTATTGTGTCGTTTGACGACAGACCTTCCAACCGGCAGAACCCAATTCCATTCCTCTCACCTCCACTTTCAAAGAGGGGGAATCTGCAAGCCCCCCTCCCTTTTCCTCTGCCAGGACTGTCCCAAGTCCTTGCCAGTCCCACCTTCTCTCCCCCCCCTCCCAATTAACCCAGCTTTGGAAAAATAAAAACAACAATCAGGCAAGGAGGACAGAGTCTACCAGGAGGTGGCAAGCAGCCAAATCTGGCTGGAGGATTCCAGTTCAGACTGGTTTGGGAGACTCAAACGAGGAATTCCTTGCGTTGCCTGCAGAATTTGGATGCAGCAACTCCTGCAGAATATGCTGCTGTGGGCTTCGCTTATCAATAATGAAGCCTTGAAGCCTCCTTTGTTTTCTTTTGCACAGCCTCTGAAAAGAAGAATTTAAGATCCATGCATATTTATTCAAAAGTGGGTGGGTCGACGGGAGTGGGGGTGCAGCGGCCTCCTCCATGTTAATTGATTAAATTTGTTTTTATTAAGTTTTTCATTTTTTGCAAGACTTCCTAGAAATAGGTTTGAAGGAACAAAATAAAATGAATTCCATATATACTGCTTTGCAATACATTTGACATGCATCTTTCTCTCTCACACACACATGGGGGGGGGGGGGAGAGCAAGACAGCACCAGAAGAGGGTTTTTAGGCAAGGTAATGTTTGCATACCAAGCTTCTATCAACCGTTTTATTAAAGTATTGTTCCTCTGTGAGATTTACTTTAGGAAGTATAACACTGAAATTACTTTTCAAAGAAAGAAACTATATCAATAGGCAGCCTTGAAAAGAAACACTGCTTTTCCCCCCTCACAAATACATCTGACAACCACATTCCCTGTTACTACGTAAAGTAAGCAGTTGGGACAACCAAAGGTGTTCAACGTCAGCTGTATTAACGAGGACAGCTTTCAAATTATAAACAGAGGCTGAATCAAACCATCAGTTCTACATCCAATGCAAATCCACACCAATTTCATCTCTAAGGCATCTGACCTAAGGAAGCCGCTCCTGAGAGAAACCGTATGAAAGGAAATATACATACATATACACATACACACACACACACACACACACACACACACACACACACACACACACATATATAAGCAAACAAAGCTGCCTTCCTCTAAAAGGGCTGCAGGGAAAAAAGAATCTGTGTTAACAATTAACAAGGCATGAAATGGCATAGGATCCTGGGGGAAATATTTAAGACTCGGCTTGGATCAGATGGGAGACAGGCTTGTGCAACCTGTGAAAATGGAAAAACAGCCACTGAATTGGGGACTCTCCAAGCCACACGACAAGTCAAGTCATCATTTGAGGAAAGGTGTAGTAGCTGAGTGGACTGGAAGAAACCAGCCCTGACCATCCATTTTACGCAGGATTTCTCTTCCGTCAACAATCCTCCCCTGGTTTTATGGAGAAACTGGGACCTGCACCATAATAACCTCCTTGCTACAGCTTCAGAGGAGTTGCCTTCCCTGGACCAAAATCACCTGAAACTGTGTCTGCTGCGATTGCAGCTTTTGTCCAAACCACAAAACTACACACACACACACACATCAACATACCACTCTTTGCCAATGATTCATCCTTTGCTGGCAAATTCCTGAGGTGGAAAGAATGGAAGGGGCAAGCAGGAGGAAAAGGCCAGGGAACTGGCCTTAAGGAAATTAAGTTTGCCACCACTCTCTGCTTTCACTCTGGGAGTTGAGGATGACAAGACAGACAGAAAAATCAAATGAACTCAACCTCACCAGCCAATTTTGAAAGCCTCAATGTTGACTCAGTGCTTTTTAACTTTGTCTCAAATTGGGCTTCCAGTTTTAAAAGGAGAATCGATTATATCTCTTTCAGGGAAAGTTGGACTCGCCGTAAAGCCCTACTGCTTGTGGACAGTGCAGAAAAACAGCCCAAAGAACGGCAAACATCCCAGGATTAAGTTGACGAAAAGCTTTTCAAATTCAACAAGCTTTTAAATCTGAAGAGAGGACACTAAGGAGGTACCAAGTGAATTTGGATCAGCTCCAGAGAGCATGTTCAGCAGCTGAGGTTTAAAAATAAAACATGAAAAAGGCAGGAAGAAGATATTGCTAGGTAGGATTCAACTTGGGAAAAGTCTCCACTGGTCACTCATAAAGTTAACATGTTTTTCCCCCCTGTCTTTCTAGCATATTTCTTCAAGTGCTGACATGCTATGAAAAGACAAGATGCCTTAACTCCTCCTTGCTTTAAACCACGTTCTAAAGTCTAATGAAGGTGAGAACTAGAATGGCTGCATTCCTCCACCCCCACCCTTTCACACAAGGACTGCTGGCCAGCTGCTTATTTCAGTGTGTTAAAGAGCATCTATTTACTGACATTAATCCAAGCCGATGGCAGGTTTTACTAATCGCCCTTTGAAGCAAGGGAAGATTTTTTTCCAAAGGGTGAAGCCTCTTTTAATTGGGGGAAAGGAGGAAGAATTAAAAAGAAAAACAGGCTGGATTGGGGAAAAGGCTATTCTATAGTCCTTATTCCTTATTCCATTCCTACTTCTATGGTCTGATTAGGTCGGCCCTTTCCTTGAAAATATAAATGGGATGATATATTTCTGTTTATCTTTATCTTTCCCACCTCCCAATCATTTATGGGTGTACTTGATGCATGTATCTTGTCTTTTTATGTACATTGAGAGCATATGCACCAAAGACAAATTCCTTGTGTGCCCAATCACACTTGGCCAATAAAGAATTCTATTCTATTTTCTACTCTATTCTATTCTATAGTCCTTATTCCTTTCCTTTCCATTCCATTCCTACTTCTACGGTCTGGTTAGGTAGGCCCTTTCCTTGAAAATATAAATGGGATGATATATTTCTGTTTTATTTTTATTTTTTTACAGTGCCGCAGTTCTTTGCCTGGAACCAACACAGAGAACAGCAGACTGGCTTGACCAGTCCAATTTCACCACAGCAAGCTATGTAGTAGCCACAGCAACAGTGGAAAACCCATAATTCGCCTATCTATTAAATTTCATCCCGACACTCAACTCAAGGCCATAAACAAAAGATGCCGTTAATAAAGAAGAAAGAGGGATAGTCCAGGCAGTTAAGCCGGTGCTGAATGAAAATGCAGAAAACTCTATCCCCAATCAATCTAAGGCCCACTTCTACAAAGTGTCTCTAAGGCCACCCTTTTATAAACAAACAAAAGCAACAAAGAATCTTCCACCCTAGAGTGGCTCAAAAGGGATCTATTTCGCAGGTGGGGCTTTTGTCTCCTTGGTGGCAGCCCGTCCAATGCTCCTGCCTCCACCCTGGTGGGGGGGGGGGGGAATGGAGGCAGGGGCAGACCAGGAGATGGTGCTGGTCTGTTTCAGAAGGACAGGAGGAAGAGCAGAGAAAAGCACAACATTTGCAGCTGATGCGCTGTGGTTTATGGGATCAATACCGGGACCCAAAGCAAAAGATGCCCCACGCCTGCAGAGGGAGGACGATACCTGTCGCTGCTGGTACTGCTGCTGCTGCTGATTGAATCGCTGCTCGAAGACCGGCTCCTAGAACCGCTTCCGCTGGGCGATCGAGTGGGTCTGGACGCTTGACTCGCGAGTCTCTGGGGAGACTGTGTCCTGGACTGGGAGGAATGGGGGGACCGGCTCCTGCTGTGTTGGTAACTCCTTTCTGGCCTTCTACCTCGGACCTCCCTGGTGAGGTCATCCCGGTAGATATCCCTGTGTACCACACTGGGCAATGTAAACTGCTCCCGAGCCCGAGGTTCGTAACGAGGGTCATGAGCATCAAAGCGGCTCGGGCTGCGACTCCGAGAACTGTAATAGAGTCCGTGTTGCAAAGTCCGTTCCCGAGGATCCCGGTAATAATCCTGGTCGTAATGTCTCGTGCGATCAAATCCTCCTGTCCCCCGTTCATGGTGTCCATAGGCACTAGGCTCATAAGCACGCTCCCTGTTATCTGAAGCCCTGCATTTAGGAGGGGAAAAACAAAGTACGTCAAATCAGAGAAGGAGAACAATGACTCAACAACATGCAAGCATTTAATGCAGGGTTGGCTGTTACTGCATGTCATCAAAAGGCCAACAATGATCTATTTAGCAGACTGAATGAGCTTGGTCCTTTTACGTGACTACTCGCTCACGTTTGCACGTAAGATAGGTCTGGCACTGACTCAGTTTCACTGCTTAAACCAAGCCAGCTTGATGCCTCCTTGCTAGATTTCTACCCCATAATCCCTGCCTCGCAGCACAATGGCTAGGGATCATGGGAGAAGAAGGCTAA